TAGCTCTAGCCTTGCCACCTCAAAAATGCTACAGTAGAATTGCAACACAAAAAGGTCATGTAAGTATCAGTCATAGGATGGCTTCCATACCAGGAGCACTTAAATAAACTAGAACTCTTAAGCCCAGAAAAGAGAAAATGAAAGCAGGAGATGACAGGGGGTTTATGAAATCCTGGAGCAAAATGCGGAAGGTGAGTAAGGACTATTTTGTCATTGTCTTTTCTAATACAAGAGGCAGGGGGAAGCAACTAACATTAACAGCTGGTGGCTAAAAATAAACAAAGGGAGATGCTTTCTTATTAAACTTGAAATTGAACAGTGGAACTCATTTCCACGGAATACTGTCCATTTTTAAAGTTCATTGGGATGCAAAATACTGTGAAAAAAAATCATTGGAAAGAACCATCAGCAAAAATTCAGTGTAAGGACACCTTTTGGCGCTTAAGACGTCTCTTTGCTCCAACCTACTTGAGGATGGGAGATTATTCTAGGGATGTATTACCATACTCTTGCTATATTTTTATTACCTTTCCTACACACCTGCCACTGGCCGCTCTTGAAGAGAGATAATAGGTGAGGAGAATTTTTGGTCTATGTTACCGTGGCCGTTTTTATGTTCTTAGGCAGTGTGCCTTTTACAAAGACATTCAGTTTCAATGTAAAGCTAATAGGGACGCACAGCAGGTCATCGTTACTGATTAGCTCATCACAAAGACCACTTCAGTACACGTGTCAGTTGTCTCCTGGGCAAAATTTCATATTGCTATAAGGATGAGCCCATCTTCTTAAGGACACTTAACTCTTCTACACCACTTGTCATTCAGGGATCTCAAAGCATTTTTACAAAGCAGAATAAGTACCATTAAGCTTGCATTATAGCTGAGGAAACTGAGACCTAGAGCAGCAATATAAGTTGTTCAAAGGCAAATAGTTGATGAAGGCGGGGACAGAAGCAAAATCCAAGTCTTCCTTTCAGCTCATATACCCACTTATGTCAGCAGTAATTGGTTGTGGTGAATTATTTTCAAGTGGATCCAAAAATCAGAGGTTAGAAAACTGTTAAGTTCTCAAGTACAAGGAAAAAAAAAATTCTATTAAATCTGAATGTAAATTTTGAACAACCTAAATATTTGAGTTAATTAGCTGGGGAGCCCGAGATCTGCCTGTCTGAGAAATTGAAATGTTAATACAATCTTAACTCTGAGAAATATTGCAGAGCAGTTCATATTCAAGGTCAGTTCACAACACTGGTTATTGAGAAAAAAAGCAGGTCAGTTAACTGCCGCCATTGCCTCTTTTCTGAGGGTCCTCCTCTGATCTTGCTGTGCTTTCACGGTTCACCAGTTCTTTGACAGGGATTATATTTAACATTGCATGTAAGAAATTTATTTTTCTTAATAAATTCATGCTGAAATTCAGTTCTGTGGTATGCATTTCCAGCCCTTTTCCCCTTAGGGGTAAAACTCTAACCTTCAGGCAAGGGTGTAGCACTAAAACCTGGTTATGCCATTCTGAGGAAAGAAATCAGAATCAAAAATCTGCTAATTCCAACAGAAAATGCCTAAAAGAGTGTATTTTCTAGTGCTGTCAGGAATTGTATTTCAAGTATCCAATGCACTGGATACCTAGATCTTTCCTGGCATATGTTCAAACCAAAATCCATTCAGGAATGAAACCAAAAAGGATGATTAAATACATTTTTTCCCTCACATTTTTGTCAGCAAAGACACGAGTTTGTTTGTTGCACAAGGTACAGCTTCAGCATTTATACCTAGAATTTCCTTTGTCTCTGAAACTGAAGCAAAAAACTTCAAAGACTTTTGTCCTATTTCCTTATTTACAGCCCAAGTCAAGATTCTGGTTTCTTCTAAAGACAAATAAGAAAGCAATCAAACAAATGTGTGTTTTGATTGTTCAAAATTCTCATACCCTGAGACTTAAGTTGAGAATAATATGGTTCAGGGATGAACTTGAGGACTGCAAAACTTGAGGATTAAAGGGGCTTTGTTCTTGGCCAATCTGTATTTTCCCAGGGCAGATCAGGATTGCTGCATGACCAGTTTCTTGGTGCTACGCCATTTTGTGGTGCAGCAGTTCAAAGAACAGAGGGAAGGAAATGAGAAACTGAGACCATTGGAAGTAATTTTTGGCACACTAAATCATCCTGTCTTTCAAAGAGACTCAGGCTCTTTAAAAGTGGACTTTAGTCTTCTGTAGCTCAAAACAAGAACAATCTAAATCATATTGACACTGCCCAGTATAATGATGGCTCCTGAACACCCAGTTATGCTACCATCGTTTAACAAGTAACTAAAACTCAGCTGAGCTGTACATTAGGCACTTGGTTCTTAACTAACCAGAAATGTACAATTCTCTGAATTAGCCAAGTCCTCCTTCTCTAGGAGTGAAATCAATTTTAACTGCCCCATGCTGAGCATTCATATGTGGACAGGTACTGGATTTTAATGGAATCATGGCAGCTTTTAGACTGAGGTAATAGGATTTTATGCCTATATTAGGAAATATTATTAGGATATATAATAATAATATTATTAGGAAATAATATTAATTTCTTCTTAAAAATCTTCCCAGAATTACACTGGGATAGTTCTCCCACAGAATCTTCCTGGACGCTCTTTGGTAAAACACAGACTTCTGTTTACCCAACATTTTAAATTTTTCATTAATTCAAATCCAATTCATTAATTGTGACAGAAAGAGGTCACAAAATTGTATTATTTTTGAAATCTTTACATGTTCTATGTCTGCTGGCTTTGTCCACTGGAGGGAAGAGGAAAGCAGGCAGCTGGATTTAGTCCTTTGTTCCTATCTACATTAAAGCAGAAGCATACTGACATACTCGGGAGAGATCTTGACTGTGTTGCCCTGGGTACATGGCAGATGTCAAACTTCAGTGCTCTTAATGCAAAACTTCTCACAGCATCCTTGAAAGAATCAGTAACTCTAACGACAATAAGTGATACTGAGTCATTATATATAATTTGATTTGACTTGCATAAGGATCATAAAATGAGTCTGTCTAGTTTCTTTAACATTGAGTAGAGCCATGTATTTTTAATTATAAATAGAAGACTTAACAGTCATCCAAAAAAATGTATTTTTCAAAATTGTATTTTGCCAGTCAAGGGAATACTGTAACATGAGTTTTCTAATTTGCATTTTAGACTAAATTTTCAGAGAACTCTTTTCCTCACTCAGTGATGCTTATTTTGGGAGCAATCATAAGGAGAATGAAAAAAGGGTTTGCCCTTATATGATTTCTTTAAATTGTATTTGCTGCTCCTCACTCCACAGTGCAATTGCTGTTGTTATTTTATTACCACTTTAATCAGAACTCAAGTGCAAGCCAGTGTGGAAAAGTTTGATTCACAATATCAATTCAGGGCAGTACGTTTCGGCAAGATCAGGGCTGGGTTTGGTTATTGGCTCAGTCTAGAGCAGCCTCAGAGCTGTTCTAAATTAGAGGCAGACATAATGGCCTGTAGTAAGGAGGTAGCCTCTAATGTACCTTTATTTTCCATGCTTGTTTGTGGTCTCTACATTGAAAGGGCTTTCTGGTGAAGAATAAGGCTATTCTCATGACTCTGAACTACCTATTTGCTAGTATTGTATTTGCTAGTGATCCCATCCAAGAAATTTACAGGCTCTGTTGATTGCCAGAGGGAGGTGAAGGGGTATGGTTCACAGTTCAGCCCTCTAGGCAATGCTATGAAGACTAAATGAGCTGAGTATTGCAAGCTTACTACCTTGTGATGTCTAAACAGGATTTGCTTGCAAGTAGGTCTCTGTACCAGTGAGTCAATTTACTTTGAAGCTGTTTTTACTTTTGGGATAGCACGCACATCAGCGTGTTTCTTGCCGTAGTTTGCAAAGAAAAGACTTTTTACATGAAAAAGACTTCTACTGCCTTTTTGCCTCCGTTCATCTGCACACAATAAGACGTTTGCTGCATCTTAACAATTAGCACAAAAAAATAACCCTCCTGATTTCAGTTTAGGAATCATTCAGTTTAATAGCTGGCTTCCTAGGCAACAGAGAAGCTATTTTCATGCTGAATCACACGAAAGGTACAGCACTGACAAGGTGATAGCTCAAGGCTCCTTAGCCTTGAAAAAGCTGACAGTGGCTGCCTATTCCTGAATCTTTGTGCCTTGTCCATAAAGGTTGAGGTGGCATAAGGGACAGCTCTAGCCATTCTAAGTTCCCTGGGTGGGGGGACTCCACTGAGACCTGGGAATTCTTTGTCAGGACAACTGCCTCCTTGCTAGTTGTTTTTTACTACAAAGGGATGGAAAAGTCGAATTGGCTCTTTTAGCATCATCCTTTCTAATTGTATCGGCCTTTCCCATCCACGCCCAGTATTTTCTGGGAAAGCATCACTGCATTTTAGTTGAAGGCTCAACATGGTTTATGAATGAACTTCCACTCTTTCTCTGCCCACTGTTGGTTGCTACCAGGGACAGAGTGCTGAGCAGAGAAACAGCTTGTTAATTGTAGGCTGCACTGAGAAGGAAATTAAAAAGGAAAGGTAACAAATACACTGTAACGATGGAATGAAGAAGAGGCAGTTGACTATATAAGGAAATATATTTTCTTACTGTAATTACTACATTGTTCTAATAACGTGTATGACGGAAGCGCCCTCGTTCTCAAGCACCTCAAGCGGAGGAGCAGATATTGTAACACACCGACTGTTTTTTGAACATTTTTCCTTTCTAATTCTCAAAACACTCTACAAAGGAAGGCAAAGCGAATAACAGAGAGAGCTGAAATGAATGACCTAATGTCAAGGAAACAACCAAAAACAGATCTCAGCAATTATGACTTTCAGTGTTAGCTACTGTGGCTTCTTGAGAGAACAGCTAAGGATGTTTGACATTATTTGTCTTATTTTATATAAAAGTGGAACATCATAGGCGCCTATCAAATCATCCCTCTATGGAAGATGGCAATGTCCTTCCACCCACACACATCCTTACCAGAAGAACAAGAATCACTGGCCCTTGATATATATAGTCAATATACTTTCCCGGTTCTTTTCCAAACCAGCATCTGTAAGAAACAAAACAAATAATAGAATCATTTATAAGTGGCAGTTCTTTTAAACGGACTATAAAGTCAAGGACACCACAGAGAAATGTGCCCTTATGGCCCTGAGTTGTTTCATCATTCGCACAACAGGCAGCTGATTGAGTTTTCTGCTACAAAGTCTTCTATTTGGACACAGACCTGAGCCCCATTTTCCCCTCCCTTTATGTTCCCACTATGTTTCTGACTATTGCCCATGTAAGTATTTCCAAGAAATGTGAGAACCAGCTGTAAGAAAGTGCAGAAGATATCTCCTGTTGGATCTGAAAAAGAAAAGGAATGAAATAAATATTCTTTGGAAGGAAAAAAGATCTGTTAATGAATTGTAGTGCCCATAGACACTTCAGTTCCAAAAAAAGGGCCTACTGCTGTAGCAAATGTTTCTCAAGCTCTGTGTAAATAAGGTACTGGATGAATGCGCAGTTCATCTCATTGGCTTTGAGCCATTTTGGAGACCACAAAATCCAGCATGTAATACAGAGACCTTTTTTCAAGCTAGGAAAAACCTGATCCAACACTTCCCAAAGGAAATGAACTTACTTGGGCGACGAAAACCATAGCTAAAGCACTGGGCCTCAAACTAGCAGAAAGCCTGGATGTGTCATGTGCGCCTGAGTCCTAGCTTGACTTTCACTTCCACTAATAGCATATGTTTTTCTCCTTGCTGAGTTATACAACAGACTATGCCTGCGCTTTCACAGTGACCCATACTGATACACATTCTATTTCCTTAACTGAGAGAAATAAATTAGATATATTTATGTTAGTAAATTAACCAGAAACAGGACTCAGGCCTGTACTCAATCATTTACTGGACAACCATTATGTTGTCCTTAGTGCAGTTTTGGCCCCGGTCAAATAATGGCCAACTCCCAAACATTTCCTGGGGAACAAATCTGGAGTTAGCATGAACCAGAGACCATTCTCAACAGTCTACAAACTGCACATACTGTGATTTGGAGGCCAAGACAGTCCAATAATATGGATGTGAGTCACTCTATGCCATTTGGCCTCCAGCCTCAGGAATAATTCTGGTCCAGCTAATTTACCAGTATGGATACAGCCACAAAGTCTAGATCTTCCTGCTACCAAGCAGAGATGACTTTGCTGTCATAACCCCGTATCGTCTCAGTCACTGGAGCTCCAAATCTTGTCACTTAGGAGTCAGATTTTGGAGTTCCCTTCATGGATGCCACATAGTGAGTCTATAAAGGCAAAAATGATGACTTCCCTGTGTTTGCCTTGTCATAAAAGATAAGCTTGGTACTGCTGGAGACATGAAAATGGGCAATTCCCGAGCTAAGGTGACCATGGAGACACATGCAGATTTGCACTTTTACAAACATGCAAGACATAAATAACATATGTTGCCTCAAAGAGTTTATAACCCATAAGATAGGACATTGCAAACAAACAGAGGTAAGGAAAGTGATGACTCAAATGAAGTTATACATAACAGTCAAAAATCCTGTCTTTCTCTAGAATGGGTTGCCTGCGTAAACAGGAACTACTTGCCCATTGCAAAATGCTGTTATTGAACTGAATGTACAGAAATACTCAGAAATGCAGCAGGTCTCTAGGAGAACAGTTCGGTATCACCCAATTGTTTTTCCTTTCCATGATTCAATGTCCACATCTTTTTAGGTTCCAAATGAATGAAAGAGTTTTGAATATTTTATAGATATAAGACATGACTGTTATTCCCTGTTGCATTGACTGCAAATTAGTGTAAATTGATAATTTGCAACTAAACTTCCAAAATTTGGCACTGAGAGCAGGACTTGGGATAAAATACTTCCTGCAGCCCACGTTATCGTCCAAGAAGAATCCCCAGGATAGCCTTAAATGAATGAAACTGATTCTTTCGTTTAGGGAGATGGAAAGATGTGAAGAAAAAAGAATTGCAAGATATGCCAAGGAAGGAAACATAACTCTCCAGAAGCTGCAAGACCTAGATGTGAGGGAGGATGTTGAAGGGCACTTTGGGAGACCTATTAAAGCTTGTCCAAAATTCAGAGAACCAAGAGCTAACAGAAAAGGAGTTTCTAGGAAGCTGGCTGTTCTAGCAGAGGAATCCAAATGGGACTAATAAGGAAATAGACTGAGTCATGTGGCAAAACTCAGTGGGCTACAACAAGTCAGCAGAGAATTTCCAGTGTAGCTAATGGAACAGAAAGGAGGTTCTGGGACAAAGGCAGCTTATTGCTATTTGGAATTTAAATACCCTTTAAGTGTAAGACCATATGTAGAAGGAGAATACTAACATTTATTATTTGAAACCCAGTATCAGAACAAGGTTCCATTCAGTGGTGAACCAAACACATATATACATATACTTTCACGCGATTTGAGGAGACAAAAATGTGGCCAAGGACAGACTTCTACAATATAGGTATCTCCATGTGAGCTAGATGCTCCAGGCTCTATTTGGAGCTAGTGGAGAAAAAAAGGCATTTCTAGGTTGATGTTCATCTAATTAAGAAATAAATAAAACAGGTCGCAATCTAAATATTTCTAATTCTGCCCATTAACTCTCAAGAGAGTCAAGGGTGACAGGCTGCATATATGACAACAACATATAGGTCTGCATTTGATTAGCTGTATCTCAGATTTACAGTCTAACTTTCAGACTGGGACCTTAGCTGGGATATTGCAACATGGACACAGTCCAACCCTGCCTTTTCTGACTGTCATCTTAGCTCTTAGCCATTATTCTTGCAATAAAATTAGCATCACACATTTCTTTAAAACCAAGCAGACAGAAACCTTAAACACTCACAGTACTTGCTGCATCAGAATTTTAACTCTACCTGTGTGAAATTATATATAACAACGATTTTCTGTTCTTTTTTTTTTTTTTTTAGGTCTGAAAGAATAAACACTCATTGAATGTTGAAGAGGATCATGCATGAAGATATTTCTAATTAGACTCAGAGATAAATGAACACATTTCTATTGAATAATACTAATTAATATTCTTCATGGTTCTCTGATAGTTCTTTATATAATTAAAAAAATACTAATTTTATCATTATTGTTAATGAGATTTTACTAACATTCTTCTTAACTGTCCATCAATGAAATTGCTATATTAATATCTCTTAAATATCTGTGTATTTTTTACTGAGATTTAATAGTACCTCTTCCAGAGAATTGTTGGATTCTGCTAAAGAACTGCAAAACCTCAGACAAGATATCTGCCACAGCAACAATTATATTTACCTCACTACATACAAAAAGATGCCAAAAAAAAACTAACAAGTCAGCTGAAGAACTTTTTCAATATTCTTCTTGTGCACTGTTTTTGAGATTTTAAGCTATTTTGAGCTACAGAACTTGAACCCTAGTATAATCTCCAAGCAATTTCAGTTACAGGTCAAATGCATTCTCAGCTAAAGAACAGAAGACCCTCATTTTGTCTTGGATTGCCGACTGCCCATTGAGATATCCAAACAGACTGGGAGGTCGCAGAAGAGCATGTTTTTTATGTTTATATGTTTTTTGTTTGTCTCCAATTTGCTAGGTATAACCACGTGGGAGACCCACAAGTGATTTGCCCAGCAGTCAGGATAAATTGAGCCAAGTCGACTAGGGAGATTAGCCTATCTTGGCAATACTGGTTTCTCAAAGCCAGGAATTAATTTTCATTCTTCTGTCTATATTTGCAAACACTTAACAGAATTCAGATTAAAGACATGATTTCAATATTATCCTAATCCTAGCACAGGGAAAGGATTCTGTAAATTTCACAGAGGTTGGTCCAAATCGTCCTGATGGCTAACACAGAATGGAGGGGAGAGAAAAACAGATCATTAGTTAAATACCCACACGGTCACATCATACACAGATGTACCAGAGGTGCATTCTAGCATGTGCTTTAGTGTGACTGTTTAGGAGAATCTGCCACTTTCCTCAGACCAGAAGGCAGTGAGCAGGAGCTACGTGGAGTATCACATGACAGCACATATTCAATGCTTGAGAAGAGGTCAGGATATTCATGACAGTTGACAAGTACTCAGCAAGCAATTTATCTTGTGTTTTGCTTCAGTTCTTTTACTCCACGGAGTCTCCCTTGCATATGACATTACTATCAATGTGAAAAGCAGATTTCATTTAACAGCCTTTGCCTTACAGGTTAATGCCTTTACCAGCTCTTCATTTACAAGAGCTCTGCCCCGCGTCTCTGGATGCATGTGTCAGATCAAAGGAATAGCACTGTTGAAGCATCCTATCTTGGTTTCTTAAGCAGAGTGATGAAGTACACGATGCCTGGCTCCACAGCTGACACTCCACAGTAGAGTTCTGAAGCTCCAGGCTGCTACACCTCACGCTATGGTGGATGGAAGCCAAAAGGACTTTCTCAATACACAATACACTCGCAGCAACTGTGATATGCAATGAGGATGTGTGAAAATGTTTCGCTCTGAGGCATACATCAGTTTAAAGACAGAAAGGTGAAAACATCCCAAAGAATTAGGTTTAGTTGGCTTGATCGACAAAGAGTAACCTAGCATCTCCTTTCTTAGCAAGTGTGTGAGGCAAAAAGGCATGATGTATGCAAGTTAGAGCGAAGAGATTTGTTCCATACTTAAAACTGAACTTGAAAGCACAAGCACTATTTGATAATCCACCACCAGGGCAGAGTTCTTGATC